CCACTCCTATCATATAATGAATTATGTTTATTAACTTAGATTGCACCTTTAGCAAGAATAATTTGACTTGCATCTGAACAACTGTACTGCTGTGACAACAAAGGGTTGATGCTGCCCCCTACTGGTCATTAAAAATAATATTCTACCTTTTTTCAATTACAAATTTTTTTGGTTAAAAATTGATTAAAACAAGTAACATAAATATATTTTGCATCATTTATATTTCAATTTTGCAAACTGAGATGTTAAATACAATGTTGGATCACAATTTTCTACCAAATAAACAGGAAACTGAGGGCCAGATAAATAAAAACCAAAGGTGTGCATATTACAGCATTGTTTTAAACTAATTAACAGAGGCTTGCTGAGATTAAATGTATAATCTTATCAGAAAAGTGACAACATGAAGGTTAAACTTGTGACAATAACTAATATTTTTTTGTTTAAAGGGGGTAGAGTTATCTGAGACCCATGGGCTCCTGCCTTGCCTTGCAGAAGGCTGGCTCACACCTCTTTACATGATTGCTTTTCATTCAAATGTGCCATCATTTATATATGCACAGCCATCCTAGGCTCCTAACACTGTATTTAAATCATGCTGAGGTTTATAAATTAACTGGGCCTCTCTTGCACCTACATTTTTTTTTTATTCAGTTGTAAATGTGCCATTTGTTGGGGATCAGTAGCCTTTTTTTGCCCTATTTTGAGCCAACTTTTGGAGTTCAGTCATCTCATTCCTGCTTGACCGCATATGATTGTTACAGAGCCATGAAAAATGAGCCTTTTTTATCCACTATATGCCACACTACTCATTCTGATAACTCCTTTAACTTTTTATACAGACTGGTTGGTGTTAGACTGTTTTAAATGACCTGTAATCCATTCAGACAAAGTAAAAACCCTTTTTATTTTAATTTATTCAGGTAAATGTAGTCTTTCATACATTCTTTGAAAGCCCTACATTTCCAGTAATTAACCTGTCATAATGTAACTGTTACTCCAGTAGAATTGCTCATATTGTTAAAGCACAATGTTCTTGTGCCAACACCATTTTTCCCCCTGCTTTACCTTTTTCAAACTTATTCAATTTCTCAAAGATAAACTGCACTACCATTTACTCTACATTCTGCTACCAGGCAGGAACAGAAACAGACCCAAAAATCAGACTTTCAAAAACCTGGACCTGTTCATCTATTCTACAAACTATCCAGTAACCTTAACTCATTTAAAACAGGGTCAATTGATGTAAAATCACATGATTAGAACGTGTAAATCAGCCAGATCGAAAACTAAAGGGGAAAGATTCACCTTTATATGAATAAAGCAAATATGTTTCGCAATGACTGAACTCAAAGATAACATATTTTGCAATTCAGCTCAGAAACTCCAACTTGTAGAATATTATATGGGTCTGATGCAGAGGCGTAGCCAGAAAATGTTCATAAGGGTGGCCAGACAATAACCAGGGTACACTGAGTGGTGGCCAAAAGTAGATAGGCATCAAAACCTCACGGTCAATCTGTACTGTTCCATAAGGAAAATTAACGGGCAAAACATCCATATTTTCTAAACAAAGACAAACTATACTTTCCCAAAGCCTTTGCTAACAAATAGAGGGATATATATGCTTTCTAAATAAAAGGTATAATGGATCAAATTCTTTCAGGTTTGAAATTTGGGCGAACACCTTTTCCATTGTCATTACTTACCTACTTTTATCAGTATTTATTCTGCATAAAATTGATATTTACAAATATTAATATCTACAAAAATGGATCATTTAATAGGTTTTTATTAAAATAGTTATTTATCTATGATTTCACTGAAGACTCCTATAATTTCCTCTTTACCCAATACAACTGAAAAGAGCATGAATTCTGTATTAATCATCTTTAATGTAAGTATATTGATGTGCATAATTAAGCATAGTGTTTTTGCTGTCAAGTCATTGTTCATATATGAAAAATGTAAATGTTTTGCCACTGTGGAGTAAAAAATATGAGCACTGAGAGTTGTTATCCAAGGAAGAAAAGGTTTTATTTTACTCTGCAGAGGAGAATGGCACAACCAGCTGGATACAGCCCTGAATGCGATTCTGAGGCTGGAGCATCCAACGCCTGAATATAAGAAGATTCCACACACACACATACATTAACATTTCCCAGGAGAAACATTTTAGTTTATCACAGGACAGAGATTTGTTTCAGATAACAGGTTTCCATACACCCCAAGTCATGAGAATCTTGAACACAATGAGGACATGTTATCTGTATTATCCCCTAGGGGGAAACTTCCTTTCATCTTAGAACAAAGCTTCTAAGTATTCAGTATTTAGGTGACCTAAGTGGTGGCCAATGATTGGCTAAGGGTGGCCATGGCCCCCCCTGGCCCCCCATCTAGCTCCGCCCCGGTCAGATGATAGAAAATCCATGCACTGTAATGCAAATGCATTTAATACTTTATCCTTTTCATGAACTAATGCATCAATGCAGCCTAACATGGAGGAGACCAGTCTATTCTGAAGTGAAATAAAAGCCCAGTATTTAGGAGGGATGACATCCTTCCTGGTTTTACATCACAATGCTTATGTTTTACCTGCCAATGTGACTTCATAGCTACAGAGAAAATCCAGTGTAAAAATTTGAAGGGCACTGTTAAAGCTGTCGATGCGCGGTCCCTCAGTAAATGTGTAATCTTAATGCCTTTATTGAAATTGCCTCTTGATACTTAAATAAGTCGGACAACAATTGGAAATGTTTGATGCAAGATGCATAGTTTTTGTTATCAGACTATAAAGAGAACAATGACGTAAATATCAATAAGCAGAGACTGCGTTTGCTTTGGGGCCCCGACACCTGGTAGGGCCCCTTCAATTGAGGTTTATGACTTCTCTTTGCAGATGTAATGGTGCGAAAAATTCCTCTTAAACACAACTGATTCTATATTAATTGATGGGACCTTATTTATACCCAAACACATGGCAGATTTCAACAGGATGGTGAGCCGTTTAAACACGACACCAATAGCAAAGCAGACAGTGCTACTTTTAATTACAATGTTAATACTACTACTACTATGTGTATAGTTCATTAGACGGTTGGGGGGGTTGTATTTCATATGGTGCCCACCCAGATAATGTTGCCTACAGGCCTATTGTTGTGTCTTACGCCATTGAAAGGGAGAGAAGTGAGTTTGACTGATGCAGAGGATTTACTGACTGAACTCCAAAATCTACAATGATGGTTCACCAAAGCTCCTCCAGGAACACATGAGAGGCTGTGTGGTAGAAGACAATAAATCAAGGTAAACGATAACAAGGGCTGAGTGGTGTATTTTGCAATAATCTGTCCTCAGATTAAAAAAAATTATAAGTTTTTACAGATGTTTCTTTCAGGCACACCCAGAGAATCCCGGGAAACTTTATGCTTCAGCTCCAAAGCAAATGATGTGGGCAATTCTGGACGTGTTTCCCTTGACTTTGGACAATAGTGGTGATTATACAGCTCAGGTATTTATTTAAATGTTATCAGCTTTATACAGACAGAAGAAAACAAGTTACCAATGGTTTCTAAATCTCCCAGGCTCCATCTGGACACGGCAGCAGATGACATGGCCCCTGTGGAAACTTTTAAAATTTTGTGCTTCTCTTCATCAGAGAGAAATCAATCTTTCTCCACATTAGACAGCTCTGATGTCTCTGGTTTGGCACCAATAAGCTAACAGCTATAGCCCATGCTTCCCCAGACTCTGCACCTTTTTTAATAGTTTTTCCTTTCACAAAATTCACTATTGTCTCTGGACAAAGGCGATGGAGGTTTGCCAAGGGGCCCTGGGTTTTCTAATGGAACCCAAAACAAAATACAAAAGAAAATCATTTTAGCATGTAAGGTGAGCCACAAGGTTTGCAGACTCCTTACGTAACAGATAAAAACTAAATTTCTATCTTAAAGCTTACTGAAATTTCTAAATAATTGAAGTAAATTGTAGAGGTCAAATGTTAAATTGCTCCAAGGGACAATTTCAGTTAGTCTCTTCTATCAGTAATTGATTTAATGTTGCAAAAACAAATCTTAAGGAGTAAAAATGTCCTAAAATAAGCATTTTACCTTTAATTTCAGCAAATGATCTAATCTAAGGAATTAGTTGTTGTCGTGGGAAAGAAGTATTCAACTATTCATCCTAGTTAAATAAACGGAGATCGATGGATTTCACTCAGTCGGCACATTTATTAATCATCTTTGCAAAGAGAGAACAGTCATCATGGCACAGCATTCTGCTCTGTTCTGGGCAGGGTTCGTCCCCCCCTAGTTACAACAATGGAAAAGCAGTCAGTCATAACAAATTACACACACCTTGCTTAAAAGTAACATGTTATGAATAAACCTTGAGAAAGAATCTGGATTGTTATGGGAAGAAGCTATGTCTGGTCTACAAACAACATTTTGCAGGGAATGGTGTGGCCTTGAGAGAGAAACAGACTAAGTGAAAACTTTTATAGTGAGTAAATATGAATATTAATATATAATTAGAGAAAGATATAAATTTTCCCTCAACAGTTGTTTTGTTTTTTGCCCTTGTATTAAGACAATTAGATTTGATGCCTTTGAAATAAGATTATGTATGGAGTTATTTTTTTGTTTTTGTTAAAGTTTAAAAAAGCAATCTGAAAGGGGGGAATAATCTTGAAAGTAAAATAAATGTGTTTGAGAGATATCTTCACATTGATATTTTTGAGACTGAAGAAAAAGTTTTAAAAAGTTTATTTTGTTAGAAAATAAAAACAAGGTGACTTTTGGAAAATGATTTTCAGGGGAAAAACCTCTTAAAAAGATATATTCACAAAAATTACAGAGTGAAAACATTTTCTCTCCAAAATATACTCCTATCTCAAAATGTAAATCTTTAAGACCTCTATAACTCGTTTGTTTTTGTACTACTGGCTTAAAATGGTTTGCTTTTCAAGTCTCATATCTTCCGATTTAAAGAAGAACAAACTTCAGATGAATAAAGCATATTTAATAATCACATAAGGAAAAGCCACACTTTATATAAAGGTGTAAATGAACATCCTTCAGGTCAACCATTTCTTTAAACCTTACATAGAATGAGAATAATCTACAGCATCTTAGGAAAAAAAAAAAAAAACAGTTCTTCACTTAAACCGGAGGAATAATTAACCTATTCTAATAGTAACAACATGAAGTAAACAGGATATAGATAGTGATTCAGACTGAGTTTTAACAATCCATAAATGTGCATAAGATTAATGCAAAGTACATATCTGTTATAAGCCTGTCTTACTTTTTGAATACATCATAAATAGATACCTGGAACATAACAGTCATGTTATCAACTTGATACTGTGAACTGCTGACTCGCTATAACCAAGTGGGTTCATACATGATCAATACTTAAAGCTGGTGGCACTAAATTGTACAATACACCAACATTTAATTTACTGTATTGAAGACACTCTTCTGCAAAAATACCCTTAAATTAACATTTCAGCCTTAATTTTATAATTTAAACCCAAAGAAGTTAAAGCAATTATAAGTGACAATATTACATAATAAAGAGTTACTTTCTGTAATAATGTAATCCTCTGATGTCTGTGGCTTATTGGTTAATACTTCAGATTTTTCAGGTCGGTGAGTAAAGAGTTTTATTAAGTCATGGCGTTAAGATGGACGGCTTCTGTTGATGTTTGAATCAATTGGTGGTTTCATTGATCTGGATCAACGAGAACTTGTTTCAAACGGCTTTCTTCCCGTCGCCATAATGCCTGTAGTCAGAAGATTGCAAACAAGGAACTGGGTTAATTCGGTTTATTATTAAGACCATTTTAGTCCAACATGTTTATAATACAGCACAAACCTGAGATTCTAATCTTGCAAGTCCCGAGCTCTAAGGGCATACCTGGACATGCCCTTCCCCTGAGGAATCCGGTCTGGGTATCTCACGGCAATGTTTAAACCATGCAGATGATAGCCCTGGAGAAAATAAACAGAGGATGTAAGTAGCTCAGCAAATTGGAGATTTATAGGGAAAGATTATTCCTGAAATGATAATTGTTAAGTGAGGTAGAAAACGGTGTCTATTAGTTGAGAAGAATTCCAGCTTTAAGAGCTCTGAAACCATGATCAAGAGCCCTCCCCTGCATTCCTCGAGTTTAGTCACTCATAAAGCTGAGACAGCATAGACTGTAGGTGGAAAACCATGCAGTTGAAATAACCAAACCCAAATATATTTTGGTTAGATGCTAAGAAACATCTGATCCAACAATGCAGAAGAATTGAAGGCCACCAAAAAGCAGCCACAGGGGGGCGTCTTTGCCACGCTCCACGGATGCAGGGAAGTATGCAAAAGGAGCGCAACAGAGAAAACTGAATTCTGGTTTTTCCATCACCTGTAAGCCAACATAATCACAGCTACCAGAAACACTCCCTTCCAGCTAACGCTGTGCAAGACAGAACCTGGAACAGATGTCCATGATTCAACATGGGATAAAGTTTAACGCAGAAGCAGCCTGAGCTCATCAACAGATAAACAGCTTTATTTGCACACACTTATGTTACGCAACAGTGAGCTCATCAGCAGAGACTGTTTGTATCCTCCATGATAACTTTGGGATTGCATAATTTAGCAATATTTAATGCATTAATTTAAAAAAATAAAAAATAAAAATCTAAATGCTTTAGCTAGGCTGTATTTAAAATTTACAAAAATCAATAAACAGAATTTAAACAACTTTAAAAATGAGAAAAACAAACATGGTGGAGAGCACCAACTTCTTATAAACTAGCTTTTAGTGGCAGTGAAAGATGAGGAGACAGGGGGGAGCATTTTGGCCCGAACAATGCAAAGCCTCACATCACACTTCTTACACATCCTACATCGGCCCTTTACTGACAGAATAAGGAAGGAACCTCTCTCATCATAACAAATCAGCCAGGGGCCTGGAGAATTTTGAATGCTTGATGCTGTTGGTGTGCTTTCTGATCCTGTGGAAGATCATCCTCACTCAGCCTGGGAGTAATTAGGAGGTTTGATACATAAATGGGCAACTATCCCCCAGGTACAGACATTTATTGCTTTATCTGAGCTGATTAAATGTATTTTTTAATCACTCTTAAAGAACAGTTTTATACTAAATTAACCAATTCAATATAACTACGATTAAAAACAACTCCAATCTCACAATACTCAGTTTTCCATTTCGTCTTTTCATTTCATGTATCAGCTAGATGTTTAATGCTGGTTTGAGGTCAAATGACCTTGGATCCCCCCCCCCACCCCAGAATTCCATCCTAAATGACTTTATGAAGAAGTCCACGTTCCTTTAGGACCCTAAGTTCCGCTTGCTGCATTTGTACTTACATGAAACTGTTTGATAGCTTCGTCACAATGCTCCTGTTTAGTAAAATTCACAAAGGCACAGCGTTTGAGAGACAGAAGTTTCACACTAAAGACCGGTCCAGCTCTGCAAAAGAGTAGATAAGAGAACATTAGCAAAGGCTTAAATCTAGTTTAACACGTTTTAAATGTATCCATATGAAGCTGGAAATGGGTCAACGTGATTGGAAAACAGTTCTTCCTCTATGTATGCTCAATCATTTTGTTTTTGCAGTAAAGTATTCAATTAAGCAGTTTTATACCTGCAGATTGGTTCCTGAAAAACAGTTTCGGAGACAATGGATGTTTTCAGATGAGAGTAAGAAAGGCTTTTTCATTTGATAGCCCAATCAACCATTTGTTCTTCAAGGTCTGTTTGTTTTGTGAAATCTTGTTTTAATTGAAGCAGAAAGGTGAAGCTGATATATTCTGCCTGTTTATCTCATCTTTGCAAGGTCTGATAAGCTGTAAATAAGCTACAAGGTTGATTTTTTTTTTTATTTCATTCACAATCAGCTGCCAGAATTCTTTTTTTTCTTTTTTCTAAAGGGATAATGTTAAGTAGCGCTGCTCCAGGCTGGGTAACAGTCTCTCCCTCTCTCAATAGGAGATAAAGAGTGAGGACACTGGATGACCAAGCAGTTTTATTACCAAGCATTTCATCTACGTCTCAATGATTCAGCCAACAGTGACTCCAGATTAATTTCATTAAGAAAGTCAAATGCATTCATCTTTCAAATTAGCTGAAATAAAACTAATTACCAAACTGTTGCCATGGAGACTTGCAATGTATAACTGATGCAGAGTGACTGTCAAGCTTAAGCTGTTCTGATTGTTTTAGCCATAAGCTCAACGAAAGGAGATTTAAAAAAAAGGAAAAAAAAAACATTTAAAAACTAGTTTACCTTTTTTCTAATCATTCAATCTTTTGTGCCTTTCTGTTATTTTTCAGAATAGATGCTTCTTTGTGTCAAATAAAAGCATTTGTTTATATGAAGCATCTTTGTATTCATTAAATAGTTCTCATAACGACCCGTGCCCAGTAAAAGTTTAAATCAAACGTCTTACTTGCTGAACAGCCTGCTAATCATGGCCTCTGTTACTGGGGGGGTCAGGTTTCCCACCCAAACTGGAAACAACTCTCTGTTAAAGAACATAGAACATTAGAACATGTTGTAATGGACATTAAACAGGTCAATATGATTCATTTTAACCACCGTGGTGTGACGTTCAGCTCAGGTTTTTTTTTTTTTTTTTTCTACATTTACAAAAAAAGGCCAAGTCAGCCTTTTAAAACTGGCTTAAAAAAAACAAAAAACGTTAGATATTATTTAGTCTTTAAACAATAAAGTAGGGAAAAACAATAAAATGAAGTTACGGATTCAGACGTCCTAAACAAACAGTGAAAGGTTGTCAGAAGAAGTAAATGAATACTCACGGTGGCGATCTGTTATCACTACTGTTAATCTTCACAGGATGTTTAGAAGTAGACTCTGGTTGATTTTCAACGTAGGGAACAACCTGATGTTGGCCCAAAGGTTTGTAAGGAAGGGGTTTCCTAGAAGCTTCATATGATGGAGCAGAAGCAGCAGGCACAGGGTTTGAATTAGCAGAGAGGACCGGAGAGACTCCTGTGATGTTTGCTACTTGAGCCGGTGGGAGAGGTCCATTTAGAACAGCTCCTAGAACACAAACAGAACCTCTGTTAGTTAATTTGTTCAAAATGATCATAAAACCAAACGTATTAAAGCTACTGTTCATTAGAAACATTAACAGAAGTACAGTGTTGGAACTCACCTTTAGGATGGTGTAATTTGGACAGAACCTCTAAGGCCTTATCTACAGTCCCGTGAATAATTAAAGCATTAGAGCTCTGCTCCCGTGTAAAACCGTAAGCCTGAAGCAAAACAGGAAGAGATCAGCAAAGGCCTGAAGAGAACGATCACAACTTCTACACTGATGCTCTTCAGTCAGTATAAAAGGCAGACTGATGATTTTATTCTTATTGGATCCAAGCTAATCTATGTATAAAATTATAAGGGCTTCAGCTACAAACCATTAGTTGTATAATCTGCACTCGCATTAGCTCCTGGGCAGCCTCTGCATATGAACTGTCCCGTTTCAGGACGTCCCTGAAGGCATCAGCAGCTTCTTCATATCTCTGGAATGAGAAACATATGTATATTTTGACCCAACTTGGAACTAAATCTGAATTGAGAGACACACTGCTCTGTTATCAGCTATTATGTTGAAAGTTTGTCTAAACAGGTCTGAGTAAACGCCACAAGGTCAGCGAGGAGTCAGAACAACCTGAACTGCTTAACAAAACACTGCAATGAACTCAATACTATAAATCTACAACATTAGAAATGCGTTCATACGCAGGAAATTTAGCCTTTTCTGTTTTCTAATCAAACAAAACTGCACAAAACGATGCTATAAACTGTTTGGATGCCCTATTTATTTATATATATATATATATATATATATCTCAAATTTGCTATATCTAGTATTTTAGGTGATTTGCATTTATGACAGAATGATGACAGAAAACAGAGAGGAGCAAGGAAAACGGATCACAGCAACTCAAAGTACTCGGTTATATATTAGTTGAACCTTTTCCTCATTATGTGAGACTACGACAATTAGTGAACACTTCTTACACCAACTCACCCCTGCAGCATAAATATAACATCCAGCGTCAGTTAATAGTTTAACTTGAATGACACTCATGCTGCAAGAGAAAATTATACAGGACTTTAAACTGAGTGTTGCTCAACTTAAAACCGGCTTGAAATCTCTGAAATGGTTCAATATTGATTTTAGTTTGTTTTGGAGGATAAAAATAAACCAAAGAAGGTCTATATCAACAGGACTGGCATATTTCATGAGCTTTCTAGGCTGAAAAGGTGGGAACATAAGATACGACCAAATCAGGTCATTTTAAAATTAAAATTGATCTTTAGTGTCCATTAAACTACTACAGGCCCAGACCAAAGTTTCCGAGGACCTCGTTATTAAAACTATTTTTTTGCTACTTAGCCCAGAATGATACACTAGCCCCCAGATTCCCAGTCACAAGCAAAATGTCATAAATAAGCTGAACCTGCACTGTTCAGTTGGACATTTGAGGACATTCCTCTCTGCTCTATTCTGATTTTGAGTCTTGGATTCCATTTTTATTATTATTATAAGCTTTATGGACGCGGACAGTAAGCTTTAAATTCAATATTATAAAGGATTAAACCACATGAAACCACATGAAACTAAAACTTTTCCAAATGTTGAGTTCTGGATACTGACAGGAGGAAAAAAGTTTCTTCTATCTTGAATGAAAAATATATTTTTTTCCCACTATCTTGGTATAATTACTGCTCTAAGCGGGTTGCTCTGTCAGCTAAAGGCATGTTTCACAGTCTCTATACTCCAGTTAAGAATTAATCGATTACTAAATTAGTTTACAATATTTCAATAATTGATTAATCACAATAATTGTTTAAGCCCTAATTCTTTCAGTCTTTGTTGACGGTGCATTTTCTTAACACACTTGTTCTCCAAGTACATGCCAGTGTAAACATTCTTTTTTAAACATGTGTCATCAATAAGCCGTGTTAATATTCAAAAGCTGATAACGTGAAAGAACAGTACAGTTATTTTCTAAATCTGTATTTAAGTTTTCAGAAAGAGCTGGGCGATTACTTGCATTTACAATATGACAACTTAACAAATTGCAGATGCATCCAGTTTTAGTCACATTGCATTTAAAAAGAGTAACACACTAAATTTCTCCCTCAAATCCTTTAGCTGGCGCCACAAAGCAGCGATGAGACACTTGCAACTAGGGCGCAGGTCTATGCATGATGGAAGAACCTTTTCATCTTAAGATTGCAGTAAAGTAAAGTCTTGCAACAATGGACAAGCCATCTTTTAAGGTCATAAAATATTGAAACCCTGGAGTGAAGCATCTACATGTTTTTGTCCATTGCAATTGAAATCACAATCACAATATTGGTTGAAAATTATGATTGTCTTCCGTTAAATTGTTCAGCCCTAATGTTCAGGATTACGTTGCTTTTTGCAGTCCTGGTTTACTTTGAGGAGGAATTCAGCTCTATTCTCTTCACAGCTGAATTAAGAACATCAGGACTAAACATGAGGACTACATCCTCATCAGGTTTGCGGTTCTGCTAAGAGCATTTACCTTCAGACCTACAAGAGCTCTCCCTTTTCTAAAGAGGCCTTTAACCCATCCTGGAGAGAAGCTCAGAGACAGCTCTGCGTCAGTCAGCGCCTTCTCGTATTCTTGCATCCTCTCAAAGCAGAAGGAACGATTCCCGAACAACCTGCATGAAAAACAGTTCAAATGTTGCATAAAAGGATTCATTATGAACAGAGTATTTCTAAAAAAACATGCAACGTGTTCTTACTTAAACTCTTTTGGGTTGTACTTAATTGCATCTGTGAAATACTTTACAGCCATGGCATAGTCTCCATCACTGGCAAATTTATTTCCAATAACTGGAAGATAAAGAGAAGAAGCACATTATATTTGATCTGAGGGGCATATATTAATTATTGCATCCACACGAGGAAACTTACTTGCAAGATCTGTACTTATTTTAACATTATCTTCTAAAGTGGGAACACTGGCAGCGCTAGAAACCTGTTTACAAGAAGAAAAAAAAAAAACAATCAGCAGGACTCTCCTAAATAACCCCGCTGTGTTCATGTCATCTTTGAGCCACCTACCTTGTACACAGCCTCTTTGCTCTCAGCCGTTTTATCGGGGACACCTTTAGGCTTTTCCTTCTCTGGAGTTTTCCTTTTGTCCTTTTTCTCTGATTTAGGCCTTTGTTCTAACTTACGCTGAGCTATAAGGGCGGCTTTACTCACAAAACTGCTCGTCAAATCCAGTTCCTTAAAAGGGCAAGAACACGAAAGGTTACATTAACTAAAGGATGTTCAAAATAACAAAAAAAAGCAGATAATATACTGATGTTTATCAACCCTAACTCAATGATGGAGATGCTGTCACCTTTTTCTATTTTAGTTTATAATCATAAAGAAAAAGCTCATTAAAATGTGTAATGGCTGATTTAATGTTCATGTGAACGATGCCAATTCCTCATTGAAAGTCAATGAGGATGATGGTTTTCTGCAAGGGGGCCGGGTCTGTTTTAGTTGGACAATTCAGCTGCAATTTCCTGTGTCTGACAGGAAGAGAGACGCGGTTGCAAAGTAAAACATTCGCTATGAGGGAAAATACAAAATAACATCTGTGAACATGAACTCAATGAAACATAAAAAAAAAAGAAGAAATACTTTACCTAAAATAGGACTGAAAAAAAGTTAAAGTAGCAATCCTCTTTTAGCCTTGCAAAAACAAGGAGGGACAGTAGAAAACAGCCTATCACTCTCCTCAAGGGAAAAAAAAAAAACCTTGACAAACTTTGGCACAGAAAACGGATATAGAAAAACTGATCTTCTTAAGCCTCACAAAAAATAAAGTGCAGGTAACCTTATTTTTCTCTCTTTATGAAAAAAAGAAAAACTTCAATAAACTTTCCAGATCTCTCTCTGAGAATCAGCTCTCACAGCCTCAGCCCCATACAAACCACCCCACAACGTTTATCGCTGCGTTTTCCCTTTCTTTTAATATGTTTCCATAACATTTTTACTGTAAAATCTGTTCTGGTTTAAGAGATGCTGTGCGGTGGGGGTGTTTGTATTTATTTTTAATAACTTCATATTCTGTCCGAGTAAAATGTGGGAAATTGTTATAATTTGTGCGGCACAGAGACAGAGAAAAAAAGTCTACACAGATCTATCCCCCCTGCCTAGTCGGAGCCTCTCTACACCCAATGTGACATGGAGAAAAAAATGGACCGGAGATTAAACAGTTGTACGGAACCAGTGTGACCCTTAAGCTGTACGATCGGGACTCGTTATCTCGGTCAGTTTCTGACGTTTCTGTCTTCAAAAAGGTGAATATCAGAACTTTACCAACAGTAGCAAAAGACGTTTTACCTCCTCTGAGACATTTATGGCGTCTTCATCTTCATCACTGGATTCCTGCCCGCTGCTGCTGTCGCTGTCTGTGTCTCTGGCTGCAGCTAAATTCTTCTTCTTTTGATGATTATTAGACGTACTCTCCTCCGATTTAGACGTACTCTCCTCCGATTTAGACTGCTCTCCAACATTTTCCTGCAAAACAAAAATAAAAATAAAAAAATGTTATAAAAAATTTCAAATTTGAGGAATGGGATGTTTTTCAAAGCTTTCATGTATTCATTTGTTTTAATATATTATATCTATTATGGCTGAAACAATCAGATAAATTGCGATTAATTGATTATTGAAATAAATGGCTAATTTAGGATTAGATTCATTGTTAAATGGAGTATAGAGACTCTACAACATGCCTTTAGCTGACAGAGCTACCCACTTAGAGCAGCTACCATATCTAAATTGTAATAAAAAAAAGTAAACATTTTGCATTTAAGATAAAAAATACTTTCGTCTGTCATGTTCTTACCAGAATTCCTCAAGTGGAAACGTTTTAATTTAACCCAGTTTAATTTCGTGAAAAAAAAAAAATCTTCTTTAAGGAACCTTTGACTACCAGATTATTAATCAATTAAAGCAAAAAAAAAAAAAAAGAAAAAAGAAAACACAGATCGACAGATGAATCAATTTGCAAAACAAGCATTGATCACAGCCTCAATGTTGATCCTCACCTCTTCGGTTTTTGCAGGGTTTTGTTTCTCCTTCTCCATTTGTTTTCTTTGCTTCCGTTTCTGTTGAGACAGCAATAAAACTACAATATGAGCAATAAAAACATGATGGGGATGAATAATAAGTTACTTCCCCATGCTCCTTTTTAGACTCCCTTCATTAAATAGACATGTTTTTATTAAAAATTATCCTACTAGCTTTTTTCTTTTACCCTATAGACCTAAAACATGGTTTGATGAACAGATTGACACCTCAATAGTTCGGATCAATGCATCTATTAGCTTGTAGCTTATTTCCCTGAATGTATTTCGGGTCAAAAGTTTCTGCGCCATTTCTATGGATGTGTCGTGAACCGGATCCATGTTGAATGAGTCTAACAATACATACCCCAGGGTTCCTACAGCATAAGGCAAGTTAAATTCAAGTCTTTTTAAGACTTTTTAATGCCACTTGAAATAAAAATTTAAGACCAAATTCATAAGAAACACAAGACAACCCTGCTTGCGACAACTTAACCCAAAGGTTTATTTTAACATAAACCATTGCACTGTTTCAAATTTTGAAAAGCTTCCCATACACGAAGAAAGCTAAAAACACACCAATGACAGATATATTTTAACAATTATTTTACAGAATTCACAAACTTTGTTTTAGCAGGGAAGAAAACAAATCAGTTTTAAAGCCACAACATATCCAGTGCTAAGTCTTTTTTGCAGCTATTTTTCTTTGTATCGTTTTCTTAGTATGTCTGATTTGGTGATAAGTGGAGGTGTTGCAGAGAAAAGGGTGGAACAAAACCGAGAAATACCGGCTGTTTCTCGGTAACTCCATTTTGAAGCTTTGTGTTTCGCGCATCGCATGTGACTCCACTGCCTTAATTCCCATCGTTCCGAGCTTGAATCGCTTCTTGCACAAAATCTACTGTGCCTCATGTATGTTCCCTGGTTTTAGCCATGGAGAAAACTCTTGGCTGTCGCCAATTTTGGTTACATTTATACTTGTTCATATTTTCCAGACAAAAAGTTGATGGTGCATCCCCCAAATGTCCCGGCCGCAACAACGCTTTTATTGGTTCCGATATCGGGACGGAACCAACAATGGAGAGTCGTTATTTTTTTTTTATTTATTTTAAAACTTAAAATATTTTGAGGAATTCAATGCCTTTTAAGACTTTTTAAGGACCCGCGGGAACCCTGTACCCATAAGTGTATTATTAATTTAAATTATGTCAAACTATAATATGTAACACAATGCTGAGTTCATGCCAATTAACATGAATATGTTGCTTTTTTTGTACATATTGTTTTAAATCCTTTCCACTCCTTCTTTTGAAGAAATAAACACTCACCTGTTTCTTAAGCCGTTTTTTCTCAGCCTTTTCTTTGCTCTTTTTAGTTTCTTGCAATAATCTGGCTTTTCGTTCAGAATCCTGAAGCAGCAGAAGAAAAATACTCGGGTCAAACCAATATTCTTTTAACTTTTCAAACACGTGGATTATTTGGACTCACCGTCTCCCAAACTGTGTAAGCTGGTGGACTGGGTGTTCCACGAATTGAAGAGTAGAATTGCAAAGGGGGCTCAGATCGAAAGGCCCCCCTGGCGCGGCCTCTTATTAATCTATCGTCAACAAAAGTTTCGTCTAATTTCGGACGGTGGGCCCAGCTTTCACAGTCATCCAGATCTATATCTGGATCATACTCCACGCCTGTTGGAAACAAGAATATTTCATTAACACATTCAACACACCAAATTGTTGAAGAATACGAGGTGTACGCCTCGTCGTTAAAGTATTCCCTTACCCAGAAGGCCACATGTTATTATCCTCTGCATATGAGGCTGGTTCCCAAATAAACCCACAACCTTTTGCTAAATGATAGGAGAGAGAAGAACACGCGAGCCGTTTTACAAATCAGCAGCTCTGGCCAGCATCTCGTGATGTAAAAAGTAAATTAAGCCCTGAAGGCTAACTGAACCTCTGCCTTAGTCTATATTTTGATGCTGTGGGAAGGAGCTATTCTGCAGCAGTCTTAAGTTTCACTTGCCTTTACCCAGGAAAACGCAACTCATTTAATTCACACCAGGAGATAAGCCCTGTTTATTGCAAGAGACTATAAACTCTCATGTTAGAAAGCAAACAGATTTCAACAGTATTCTTAGCAATAAATCCATCACTACAAAGAGTTTAGAGCCAGATCTTAATATTAAGTTGCTGACTTGTCTACAGCTATTACAGTAGAAAGTGGTGAAACAATAATTTGAACAGCATAATATCATTTTTGAGGTTACCAACCTCAATAGTGTTTTTCCTCAACAGTGAGAGATCTACTACAATAGTATCTATTCTGTAGGGCTAGAAATAAACCATCAACACTGCTTTTAAAGTAACAAACTGAGCGAAAGTTATAGATTGCATCTCAGGGTACAGAGATGGTGAATAAAGACATGGCAAATGCATTTTGCTACTTAGCAGTTCAGGGGAAGTGGTGGTATGTAAACAAACCATGAAAATAAGTAGGAATCTTTTTTAAGGGTTCATTATGTTTAATGCAGCAAGCTTTCTGCTTGAAAAAAATAGCTGCATTTCAAAGAATTGGTGATAGTTCTATCTAAAAAGAAAAACTTCACCAAACGTATCTGCCCCTTTAAAAGATATAAACTTCCAGCAGAGAATGAGTCTTTTCTAATACCAATTCTCATGCTAATGGTCAATACAAAATTGCCAAAAAAGGCATAAGTTAAACTTTTTCATGTAATTCTTAGGGAGGGATAGGCGTAAAATAGTTAATCGTTCAGATCAATGTGTAAAGTAATCATGTGAAGTTGATTTTTTTTTAAACCCAGATAAAGAATTGATCCAAGGCCAGATCTGAGGGGAAATTCAGGACAGCAGCCGTTATTTTCAGGACCTTTCCCAGCTTCTAAAGCAAACACACTCCATTAGCTTCAACTACGAACATAAGAAAAAGCCAGACTACTTACCATCATATAGAAATCTGTAATCTCTACAAAAAAAGAACAGAAATGAACAGAATTGAGTAATTAAAAACGTTTTAAGTCCTTTATCATTACACAACAGTTACTTCGGCTATCCGAGCCAATTAGCTTGTTAGCTCCACTAGCCACCAACTTCTATACAAGTCAAAACGAGCTTTTTTTTCTTACCGGTTTCTTCGTCAAACGCCTGCATGTTTCGTACAACACACCGAACGCCAACGTATTAAACACTTATATTTAAATAAACAGCTTATAAAATTATATTAGCGCCACGTTCAGCAGACTCTAACTTTAGCTGTGTTTTTCGTCTGCGCGCGCCCTGACTAGTGAAGCCGCTGCGTTCTTTGAGCAGGAAGCGGATGTGCGTCAACCGGCGTCATCGCTTCAACCAATGGGCGGTTCGGATTTGTTCCAACATCCGGTTCAGCGCTTTGTTAAACGGCCTTATTACATCAAATATCGAAAAAAAACAACAGTATGGAGCACCAACTCTGCCAACTAAGTAAATGTTCAATAAATAAATAGGCATACAATTATTTGCCCCCCAAAACACAATCAAATAAATGTTTATTTATTTATAAATGTTTATTGTATTTTTGCGGGCAATTCATTGAATGCATATTTATTTATTGCGCATTTATTTATTTCTGTATTTATTTTTAAATATGGCAGAGTTAGTCCTCCATACAGCAGCACAATACTTAATAAAAAAAATATTTTGTAAGTAATGGATAAATCAATTTGCTGTTTTACATCAAAACAATCTTTTGATTTAGAGGTCAGATCTGATCTAAAACGAGACAACCCCCCCATACAGTGTGCAAATTGTCTAAAACTCTTGCCCCCTTCTGAATGTATTAGTGGTGATAATTAATGCCCACACATTTGTATTTAATAATTTTTTTTATGTTATCATCTGTGGCCTGCAAACTTGTTAACCCCCTTGCTATTGATCATGAAAAAAAAATAAGTAAAAAAAGCAATAAAACAACCACTCGTCCCAAGCCTTATTCAATTTCTATTATTCTGTAATAAAATGCTGCCTCCCTGATTGATTTAGCTTTTAATAAACACATCCTTTTTGACCATAAAAATGTATATACAAAGACCTATTTACATACAAGAACTACAATTAATATAATTTTTTGAAACCATTTGAAAAATAAATCTGTCCATAACTAGACAATACTTTTGAAACCCAATAATGGGTAGTATGACCATAGGTGGCTCAGAAACTGTCCGAAGTGCTTGTGATAACTGGATGTTTCTGATCACTCTAGAAGTATACTCACCCTTTTTGGTTGGACTGATTTTAATCCACCCACAGTGGAACATTTAACAGTATAAACATCCCGTTTAAATCCTCTAATAGCATCCTAATCAGATTTAGGTTTGAACTATTACTATACACTCCAATATCTTAATTTTACGTTTCAGCTTAAGGTCAGAAACTGATGGCTGGACATCGCACCACCCACTCTGTGTTTGACCGTGGGTGTTATGTTCTCCTTTATGAAATGCTGTGTTAGTTCAAACTAGATATCGTTGCTGTCGGGAAAAAACCTTGTAACTCACATTTTGGACTTTTTTTTTTTTTTCATAAATTGATACGATTGGTCAGTCCCCACGTGTGAACGTATGTTTTGGAAAATATTAACCAATTAAAAGTGTTGAAAAAAGGTTGGGACTTAATCTCATTACTCCATTGGACTCTTCCGCTGTTTTTACAATTTCCTGTAAACTTTATGGTTTTGGACATACGAGGTTTCCGTCCGACAGCGACGATATGATAGTTTTCAAAAAGCTTTGCAGTAAATGTGAGAAGATTCTTCTCAATTAGTAGTGGTCTTTTCCTTTGAACTCTTTCAGTTAATATCCATATTTGTATTTAAGCACTGACTAAATTATTCCTTGTATTTTGGTGGTTTTCTTGCACTGCTTATAGATATAACTAACACAGTACCTAAATGCCTTGACATTAAAACTCTGAAAAAAGAAAAACAGGTTTAGTTCAATCAATCTTTGGATAAAATATAAAAAAAAAAAAAAAAAAAAAAAAAAAAGAAATATTTTGGACAGATAATGAAGTAAAACGAAGACAGAGTTAATGTCAGGTTAAACATTTAATGCATCATTCAGTCCATTGTTATCCAAAAAAAACATCCAGAAATATCTTTCTGAATAAATTAGGAATGAGAAAAAAACTCCCATAGTTTCAAACTACAGGTAAAGCTATTAAAATCATCTTTTAAAAATACCATCTGTATTTTTGTTATAGTGCATCAATGGTCAAAAGTTAAACTGGAAATTCTTAATTCTTGCACCACTAAAGCAACAAAGCCTAATTATGTTGTTCTTTATGGTGCGTAATAGTCCTTTAAGACAAGAGCATATTCAGGTGCAGCACCAGCTCCCTCTAGTGGATCTGCCTCCGGTCATTTCAATAGAAACAAACCATTAAAATCTCTTTACTATTAAGGTTTAAGATTAAAACCCTGAGTTACAATCTAATAATTGATCCGTCCCCACATTTCAAATAAGAAGCAGCAATCACATTTTCTGTCACAGCAGAAAACCTGGAAAAATATACCAGTAGCAAGTTTCATTAAGTCCTTTTAGTGATCCGTCACTCCACAATCCTCCCGTGGCGAACAGAAAAGGCGATGAGTCTGTGGTAGGCTGAGAGGAGGAGGATGACGGCCCCTACCACCATAGCGCAGATCAGGCTGAAGGCCCAGCGGGGTCCCAGGAGGGTGTAGATGTGAGAGACGAAGACGGGGCCCAGCGTTCGCGCCCCGCTCCCAGAGGCGGTCATCCAGCCCATGTATACACCCTGAAGACATCAACGCACGCTTAAAGCTCACCGCGGGCATCTTTATCACTTTTATTTAGTGAAAATACATCTAATCTACATACCTGAGGTTTTGGTCCGAGTATTTTGGAATAAAGGGTGTAGGACATGACGTTACAGGCTGGGTAACCCACCCCAATGAGGAAGTCTGATGTTATGTACTGAGCCAGGTGTATAGCAGGGATGTACTGACACCAGGTCTGCTCGTAGGGGCAGCCTGTTGGCTCCACAGTCCCATTGGCCAATAACGTAACCTCCGTCTTCAAACTGACCAAAGAGTTGTTTTTCAGGTCTGTATTTTTAGTCAAAGAAAGAAAACAAAGGTGAAATTCAGGTTTCTTTCAAAAATATTTCAATTGATGGTTGATTTTCTGACAGAATACCTGCCCACTGGATTTTAGGGAAATGATTTCCCCACGGAAGCAGAATGATGAAGCCTAAGAATATGATAAAGAAACCTGCAAGCAACACGGGACGGTCCCCGAACCTGGGAGGACACAAAGCAGCTGCTTCATAACTCAAACAAAAAAGCTCAACTAGATCTTCAACTCAAAAGTAAAGTTTTTACCTGGAGGCGGCTGCTTTGACCACCAGAAAGACCAGGATGGATTGGAATCCGATCCCGACCATAATGATACCGTTGTAAAGCACAGCTTCTCTCCTCGTCCAGGCGAACATGTCCATGGACAGAGGGGTGGAAATCCTGGACAAAAATAACCTCATTTAGGACTGCAGCTGTACGGGGGTATTACTTCACAACCTAAACAGTGCTTCATTGCATCACCTACGTTTCAAACACGGCGAAGATGAACATGACGATAAAGAACAGGACGTTGGAGGTCACGACGGCTACATGGTCAATTGATTCCACAGGTTCATCAAGGATATCAACTCTCTCTGGACAAAAGAAGAAGAAAAATATTTTTTAAGTGATCATATTCAAAACAGATCTGGATTAATCTAGTTGTTTACATCTTTAATGGTTTTATACCTTTAAGTTAAAGTTCATATTAAAATAATTTCATCAAACACATTAATTTATGACTTATATTTATCATCTTAACTTTAGAGATAGTAGGTTGAAGTCACATGATGGAGCTCAGGTATTGATAATTCCTAAAGCTCTGAAACTATTTCTTCTTGCATTTAAAAGTAAATCCAGAAAACAAAAAAAGGTGCAAAACAAGGATAAACATCAGGCTAGGCTTTGATCACTGATGCTGACTCAAGGAAGCAAAGACGCCCAAAAGCTAAGCAGAGGTTGCTGTTTCTTGTCTGGATGAGTAGGTTAAAGGGGTAGTTAAGGTTTTTGGACAGGGTTTGGGTCTCTGCATTCCTCAAATTAGAGTTTCACTTTTGAAATTTTATAAATAAGAGAGAAAGACTGAGATGAGGAGACGACAGATGTGGGCTGGAAGTGTACAGCAGACAGGTGAGAAAGAAGTAAAAGGATATTTAGCAGAATATTGTCGCGTTAGTTAATGCTGAACTCATTAAGCATTTATATTATATGTTGCACCTGTTGCCTCCATCAGTAGTTTTCACTGTTTTTGGATAAAAATGTTTCATATTTATTTTTTATTTTATTTTTTTCTGTAACAGTGCGACCACAGCATTTACAGCTCTTGTAATTCATTTCCCACTGTTAGGATTTTACTGGTTCTTTAATACTCTGAACCTACAAAATGTTTTCTTTTTGGTTTTCAGTGCCGTTTCTGTAAATGAACAACTTCTGACACCGTGGGAAGTCAGAACATTATATGGCATTATCAGCGCGGTAATTATGCAGATTTACATTTCTCATGAATGCCGCATAGGTTTAGGAGGATAATTTCCAACCATTTATTGAAGTTAAGAAAATTTGTTGAATCTGATGTGAAGCACTCGTAGGAGCCCACCGTAGGAGTAAGAACATTTTACAACAAGAATACGAAAATGTGGCATGAGGCGAATTGTTTCAGTTCTCCTTATTTTCTCTTTCTTTTCAAACGTTGGCTGTTGGTGCATAACACATTCTATTTTTAATTTTTTTTTATAAAAGACAGTATGGGCTACACTGTGGTACAGTTTGTTGAACTGTTGCCAAGCAGCAAGAAGGTTCTTGGTTTAAATCCTGGTGGGGCTGCGCTTTTGGCCGGGGGGGGCGTTTTGGGGGGGGTCCCGCGGCGCTCGTGGCCGGTTCGCGGCGGATGCGCATGGGCCCCGGCCGGGGCCGTCTTAGTGTTTTCCTGGGTGGTGCGGTCGCGGTGGGTGTTGCGGCCGGTCGCCGGGGCTTGGTGCGGGGGGGCGGGGCGTGTTTCGGTGCTCTGTGGGGCTGGGGCGTTTCGGTCGGCGCCGTGGGGGGGCTGGTGTTCGGCGCCCGGCCCTACTTCGGGGTGGCCGGCTGCCGGCGGGGCCCGCGGACTCGTCCCCGCGGCTCCCCGGGGCGCCGGCATGGCGGTGGCTGGGGGCCTTCCTCGTGGCTGTCTCTCCTCCTGCCTTGGTGGGGTCTGATTTCCG